CAGGCAATGCCCATGCCCAGCACATACAGCGAGATCTTGGGATGTGAACCCAGAACCTTCCCGTATGGGTCAGTCTTGCAGGGCGGTCCCATGTTCTTTAATCTACACCTCCCCCGACCCATTCTCAAAAAGATCTGGGGGGGGGAAAAGAAATAAAGACATCTAAAAAGTAATGGCATGTCTGGTAGGGGTGGGGAGGAGGGGAATCAAACAGGCTGAGCACCAGGCTGAACGTATCCACCTGGCAAGGTTGTTAACATCTGAGAGATTCAAAGCCTTAGGTATGATCGGTGTAACCAGTGAAAAGTAGTGGAGCTAGTATTTTGGATTAAAAATCTATATAGCAGGTGAGCAGGTGGCATAGTGGTTAAAGGTGCTGGACACCCAGACCTGGCAACTTGCTTTCTTGCTTTCTCTCTGGTGAGCACACGTGCCCTATAACAAGTCAAATAATAATAATAATAATAATAATAATAATAATAATAAGGGGCCAGCAGGTGGCATGATAGTTAAGGGTGCTGGACTCCCACATGGCTGACCACGGTTCGAGTCTTAGAACTGGTGGCTAGCTTTCTCGCTTTCTCTCTCTCTCACTCTGTCCCTCTCTGATCAAGTTAAATAAAGTTAAATAAAATGTAAAGATAATAGTAATAAAATGATTATTTTTTTTTACCAAAATCTAGACAGCACCTACAATGTGCCAGGTACTATGCTGGGTGGGCACTTCATTTACTTCTCATTTAATAAAGCAGAGCCTGCTAGGCCATTGGACAGGTCAGAAGTTATTCTGGAAAGCCACAGAAGGGTTTTTAATAAGGCACTGATGTAGTGAAGTCATAAAAGACCAGTATTATACCCATTCTGAGTATGTTTATTTTGCTATAGGGTACATTCGCTTGCCAGAAAGACACACACATGCGCACACGCGCACGCACTCAGAGGGAAAGTGAGAAATCACCCCTCGGGGGGATGGCCATGCTGCAATCCTCTCTCCTCCGTTCTCTCTCGGGATTTTGAACCTGCACACATATGTGCTGGGTGTCATTTTAAAGTTTCAGGGTCCAGGACTCAAACTGCTCACCCAGCCAAGTGGGATTCCAGCCACCTTTAACCTCCACACCACTTGCTGACCCCTATACCCACTTGATTTTACAGGTGAAGAACTTGACGTTAGCCAGTCTAAGGTCACATACAGCAAGGAAGTGGCAGAACCAAGACTGAAAACCCGGCCTCTCTGAGATAAAGCAATTGTGGCAAAATGTTAACAACTGTGAGTGGAGGTTAAGGCTACATAGGTGTTTGCTGCTTCCTTTGAACTTTTCTGTATGTTTGAAAATTTGGAAAATAAAAAGTTTGCAAAAAAAGAACCAGGTTTAACTCTGAAGCTTAAGCTTTTCTTCCCCAGTATGCTTCACTGTGCCACTAACCTAGGTGACCTTAGGTGTCACTGTCCTGTCTGAAACCTTCCCCACCCAAATGCTGAGACCGCATGAGATCATCGCTAAGGCTCTCTCCCTAACGTTGCGTTGCACTGTGGCAGTATGTGGCTTTAGATTATGCGACCACACCGAGAGTCATTTCTTCAACTTGACCACACCGAGAGTCATTTCTTGCAATCAGAAAGGACGTCCTGTTTCCTAAGCTCTGGGAAGGATGGCCACCGGGTCTGTTTTGCCACATTGCCCATGGCTGTGTAGAAACTACTGGTTGTCGGTCTCCATCTTGGGAGTGGGGTGAGGAGGTGGAATCGCTCTTAAAAGGAAACACCGTCTTCTGCCAAGTCTTTGGGTGGAGCTAGAGAAACTGTCTGAGACAACACTGAGTCAGCACATTCACCAGGGTCAAGTTCACAGTTGGAGGGAACTGGAAAAGGGCCCTGGTTGAGAAGAAACCTCCAGCTGAGGCCTGTTTAGTCTCAAAGGGGTGGAATGAAAACCCACCAGTTCGTAATGGATTCACCAGGGAACAATGCACTACGCTCAAATCAGGGGTTTCCTCTCCAACTGTTAGAAAGCTTAGAGACCTCTTCCAAAAGTGTGACAAAATTTTGGACATCACCCCAAGAAGTAACAAAAGTTCAAAAGTGGTTTTCAAAAGTTGCATAACGGATTCTGTGACAATGGGCTTGGTGGAGACCATGTCTGAACTCCACATCAGCAAAGGCAACGGGGCTTTTCAAACGTGTGCATCAGGGGCTGTCAGACTTCCGGGGCGCAAGGGGTCATGGGTTTGACCTGGTGTGACATCTATGTGCGTTAGGAATCAACATTCTGGGCTGGTGGTTGAGGGCACCAGAGCCACATGCCTGATTGCACACACTGAATTTCAGCCCCACTGGCTTGAAAAACACCTGTCACATGTACGTGCATGCCCCAAATCCTGACAGGACGGAGAAATGGAGAAGGGATTGTGTGGTGAACATGCCCCGTTGGGGGAGGTGCCTTTTCTCCCTCTCCCTCTATGTCTCTGTGACAAATTAAAAAAAAAAAAAAATTAAAAAAAAAAAAAAATCAACATCCTTTCCTCAAATGGAGTTTTTCCTTTTGTTGCAGAAACCCTTAGGGCTACAGTAAGGGGGCTTGGTTGACCTCGGAAAGTGTATGAATCCCTCATGAGCCTCGCTTCTTCTAATCTCTAAGGACGAACGTACTGGGAATTTTTCCAAATGGCATTTCTCTGTAAGACGGGCGGTGGCTGAGCACAAGTGGAGCTGATGGGGACTGTAAGTAAGTTCAGTGGGACCTAGTGACATAAACTTTTCTCAGTTCTCACCAAGACCACACGAGCTTTGATTTTTCACACAACATATATTTATTCAGAAAAAAATTTGCAATAAATTATAATAAAAAAGATGACACGAAATACAGAACCCCACTAGCAGCTTTGCTTAGTGACCAAAACGTTTTCGGGAAATATAACAAACACAGAGTAAGAACCAGAAAAACCGTGAAAGGGAGACTAATGTAAAGTCGCCACGTGGGTCTGAATCATTTCTTCCCTACAACAGGTGCCGAGTCCTTCCCCACCGCTGAATCTGCAATCCTTCCTTGAGAGGACCATGGAGCAGTACCTTAGAGGACTAGGAACTGGAGCGTGGGTGCTGGGACAGGCATGGTGGGAGAGTAGATTCCTTCTGTCTGGTCTGTGTCTTGTCTTCCCCTCACAGATTGTCTAAAACCCTCAACCCTGGATATAGCCCAGGACAAGCTGGAAACAAAGGGTTGAGGCAGGAACCAACCTAATACTTTGACTTGACAGAGAAAGGATGCTATACACGCACCCCAGAGACCCTGGGCCCTGCACCCATGGTCGTCAAGGGACCCCAGGCGGGCAGTGCCCTGGGAAACGGACACAAGAAAGGTGTCTCCTTGTGTTACCACTGTGCCCCAGCTTCTCTCATCTGACTTTCTGTGACTGTTTTTCTGACCATTTCTAGCAGAGATGACCGAAGTGTTTTTTGTTTTTCTTTTTGCCAGAAGCTGCATGTGCTCAGAGAGAGAGAGGGAGAGAGAGGGAAAGGGAGAAAACACTCCCCAATGGGATATGGTCATTCTGCGATCCCTTCTCCATTTCTTCATCCTGTCGGGATTTCAGGAACACACACATGCGTGCATGCCTGATGAGGCTGGGATTTGAACCACATGGTCGACCATGTATGATCTAGGCTCCCTTAGCCACTAGGCCACAGGGCCAGCCCCAGAGTTCTGCTCTCAGTCTTCCATTAACTAAGTCCATCACTCAGCCCATGACCTGTCAGGTGTCCAGCAACTTGGCACCACTACTTGCCGTCTATTCCCTAACTCCCAATCAGGAAAGGTTTAACCAGTAGATGTACCTTTTCTGCCCCAAATAACTGAACTGAAGAGACAAGGGAGTTGGAGGAGTGTTTGGTGACAGTGTTTCCCCTGGCCCTGTCCTTGGATGCGCCAGATGAGTCATGAAGTCAATGCCTGAGGTCGCATGCAGCCTGCATGTAACACTCCTTGCATTCAACTTCAACGGGCAGGAACAAGTCAACTCACGGTGGTTTCAATGAAAGAAAAATAGGAGAAGGCAATTCCATCAGGTGGTTTTGCAGTCAGTGGCTGGTGGCCTGTCAGCTGACACAGACTGACAAAACAAAGCTGCCCACTGAACTTCAAGAAATGGAAAGCTCAGAGGGTCATCCCCTCGGCTGGGAAAGGTAAGGTGCACAGTTGGTCCCACCGGCCAGTCTCTTACACAGGACTAGGTACAGTGACTGGGAACCAGGAGGAGTGTCTAAATCTGTTACTCCCAGGAGCTGCTTGTAAAGCCCAGAGCCAGCCCTGCTGAGGGAGGGGCTGACACCTGCCCCGTGGTTCTTCGGTTATCCCATGCTACCCTTGCTGTTGGAAGGCGCAGTAGCTCTCAAGATGCACACACTCCCTTTTTCACTGTGGTGCAAGTGCTGTCCTGGAAGTGGATTTGCAAGTGGGAGAAGGGTCCCACAGACACCCAGGATCAGTCCTCATGTAAAATTCGAGCAATGACAGCAAAGGGAGAGTGGGATGCAGGACCTGTCAAACATGAATAGCTTTATCCTTACAATACTCAAAGTGCTTCCATTCTGATTGTGATTCTCTCACATCAATGGGATGTCACCTCTGAAAGTCCCTAAAGTTATGCTACTAAATGTGGTCTTAGGCAACAGAATATGGTTCCACCCAATGTGGATCCATGAGAAGGCCAACGTTAGAGAGACAGACACCACTGTAGTAGAAATGCACAAATACCTGTAGCAACCTCATGTAGACTGTGAGCTCATTGTGGAAGCCAAGAAGTCACTAGCCTCACCCAGACTTCCTTCAGAGTAACAGAAGGAGGAGAGTGCCAAGGAGTGGGACTGGGGGGGGGTGTCAAAAGTGCTTCAGACGAAGGAGTACAGACAAGTCCGAGCTACAGCAAGTAGTGCTTGTAAGGCCTAGAATGGGGACATCTCAGAACCTAGGCCCAGGATGCTAACGACAGTCATGACAATTGGGTAGGAGGGCAACAAACACATCCCTAGGTTAAGGAGTGTAAATACAGGTCTCTCTGCCTTATAAAGAGGAAACACAAAACACCAAAATATGGTAACTTTGGCTTGGCAATATAAGTCTAAAAGTATTTTGCTGTGTAGGATACGGTAAAGGAGGGATTAGGAAACTGTCTTCCTTTTACACTATAAACAGAACTGGAAATTCTGCAACAGACCCTTCCTGTGGCATGACTTAAAATCACTCTGAAATACTTGGAGCCCAAGATCTTCTGCCTCTGGAATCGCAGAGAGCAGTAAGAGAAAAGATTTAGTCTTCATCGCTTCCAAGCAAAAAGCCCAGGAGGAACTGGTTAGCACGCTGGCGGTCACTCGGAGTCTGTCTTGTCATAAGGTTGGGTGGAGGCCTTAGGAGAAGACTAGTGAAGAGAGTAGCTACAAGGTGAGAGGGAAAAAAAGGGGAAATGCTTTGTCAGGTATAACATAAGCAAACCCTCGGGGTTGAGGGGGTCAGAGGACGAGGACACTGGGAAAAAGGGGATGGCCATGTGCCTGGACATCCACAGGTACTGGTACACGCTGTATGAAACACACATAGACAGTCTTTGACAAACACCACCACACGGCCATTCTTAAGAACTCTTACCAATCATGTTGGCACTGACATTGTTGTATTCGGAGAATTTTAGGAGTTCTCGAAGGAATGCCATCAAGTAACGGAAAACATTTCTATGGCATCTTGGAAGCTGGGAGATCACCTGTTATTAAAAACGGGTGGACCATGAGGAAAACAGGTGGAAGAAGGGAGCAAAAAGAGCTTGCAGTTGCCATAAAAATACTTTGCAATCGAACCCTTATGGGATCCCATTGTCTGTCACTACCTTCTGTTATTTACTCATGACCAATACAATACCTGGCAAAGTGTAACTTCGCAGTTAGAATGGTCATACAGTTTGGCCCCACCCATTCAAGGACTGGGTCACCTGGTCAAGGCACATTCACACGCACACCCTGCCTCACAAACAGGTCAGTGTCGGTCTGCTTTTCTCTCGTTTCCCCAGACAGGTAACCATGGTATGCCAAGCGGAACGATTCTCTCTACAATGCCACTGGGCACGGTTGAGGACTTCTTCCTAGTACTCGTTAGTTCTATCTACAGGTAGTCTTAGCTATTGTGTATCACCATCATTTCTGGATTCAAAACACATACCGACAAGAAAAAAAACAAGAGAGGATCCCAGGGGTCTCCCACCGTTCCTGGCAACGTCAGCCAGAATTCCCAGTACAGACTTACCCAGAGTAGGGCCATCCACCCCGCTAGGGCTTATATAAGCAGAAGTGGGCCAACTGGGCAAAGGTGGCAAGTATAATAGGAAATAATACAATCTCAAAGTTAGGGCTTGAGGCTCCATGCTGGTGACCTGCCTTGAGTAACAGATCCAAGCCCACTTCGCCACATAGTTGGCTGCCCATCTGGCTTCATAAAATTTATGATTTCTCTATGGGCAAATCTGTTCTAAACCCTCAGATCAATAAAATGCACCTGTCGACAGATCCGGGGATCATGAGCAGAGTCAAGGCATCGCTGGTATAGCTCGTAGCAGATGACTGGCTCTGGCAGGGCTTCCAGGAAGATGAGCAGGGCTTCAGCCACGGAGTGATTACTGCCAGCTGAATCAACTGAAGTCAAGGGAAAGGGGCTCAGAGGAAAGGGCCACACAGGGACCCAGCAGACTCCTTCCTCCAGCATCCCTGAGGGCCATTCCCTCCTCCAATTGAAGGCATGCTGAGCCTAATGGGGGTGGGGTACCGTGCTGGTCCAGGAAGCCGACGCCTGAGTTGTTTCAGAACTGGTCAGTCACTCTTGGGAGATGTGGCCCAACTAGGGCCAGGAGGATACAACCTGCAGGGATAGCTCACAGCGAACCTGTCCCAGTATGCCCACCTCTCTCCCTGCCCTCCCTGACTACACGCGTGGTGGCAGAAGTGAACGACGACTGGAAGGAGAAAGGTGCCGGTGCTGTGGCCCCCAAGGTCTATGCCTATCAGAAGTCACTGTTATCTACCCTTGGATTCCTTTTGCTAAGAGCCTGATACAGACTGAGGTCAAAAGTTCTCAAAACGGGGCGTGGTGGCGCCCGCCCTATGGCAAAAGTTCTCAAAACGAACCGAGATGACCGGGCAGTCAGTGATGTCATAAAAGACAATTACGAAGAAAACACATGTGGAAATACAGAAGTCAAACGTAGGGAAGGCGTGTGGCCAAGAACTCACGCAGCTTCCTCAGCCTTGGCTGAAAAGGATACGGATAGTCTCAGGGATACTGGTATCCAGGCAATCGATGATCTGCTGTAACTCTTCCTGCATCCCAGGGGTTTGGAACAGATCCTCCTATCAAGGAAGTCAAAATGAAGGGACCAAGGCAAGATAATCACCCCAGGATCAACCGGGAGAGCGGGAGGAAGCAAAAGCGTGGTGTGCACACTCATGATCAGGAACGGAGGTGGGAAAACGGCCCTGTTATCCTGTATCAGCACAATCATCCACGGAACATTTTACATTTGATTTCCAACAAGAAATTGTTCTTCCAAGGTTTGAGCTTATACCTGATAAGGCAGGGATGTGCTAGGTCAGAAAACCTGGGGTTCCACTTCTAGCCTCTTGACAGGACGTAGAAGGCAGAGCCCTCAAAGCACAAGCCCACGTGAATGCCAGTACCACAGAGTGCCAGGGAAGGAGTGAAGGGAACGCTCGTGCTCAATCCTGAATTCAAGTTCTGCCGTTCAGGAGGTATGAGGACTGTCCCCTTCAATTTGGTCTCAAGCAGGTTTCCTTATTGGGGAATAGGAGAGGTGGGCTAGCATTTTAGATAGGACTTAAAAGAAAAATTAGGATCAAGTTAAAGACATGGGCTTGAAGTCTGCTTTGGACTCAGCACACAGCGTCCAGGGGAAATGTGCACGTAGCCAGGAGACAGGCCTTCTTTGTTACAGCCCCAGCTCCACCACTACACTTATGCCCTGGTTACTTAGCTTGCACGTTTTAGCTGTCACAACTAAGAACGGGGGGACTTTCACTTGCCCAGGTAATCTGACAGTGCTGCTGAGTAAAGGGAGCTTGGGAAAGTTAAAAGCACTACATTGGTGTGAGGTACTCTTAAGTTCCTATGGGGCTCTCACACCCCTCAAAACAGCAGGCAAGTTCTCCTTGCACTTACCTGGTGACAGGCGTATTTGAATAAGTGATCTACTAGAAGCCAGATCTCCTTGGGAACCTGAAGAGGTCTCTCGCTGGTACCTTCATCTAAAGGAACCATCTGCAGAACGGATTTCTCCTAATAGATGAAAACGGATGGGAATCAAAGGGGTCTCAGAATAAAGAGTGCTGTGTGTAACCTAATCTTCAAACTCTGCTCAGGCGGGTACAATATGGTCTACATCTCTTAAGATGTTACAATTTTTTCTCACAGGGGACACCCCTGGTCAGTTGGCAATGGATACTGATTCCCATAGTTAAAGGATCTTTTCGGAATGCTCTCATGAACCACTAAGCATTTCAGCTGGCTTTATTTGCTTATCACATGGGTGCACTCTGGCCATAAATCCTTCCAATGGTGACAATGCAAACCAGTGCTCCTGAACTCTGGTCAAAGGACAGGCTACACCCCACCAGTGACTCATGAACCATTAAACTACAAAGGGAAGGCCAGGGTCTACACTTAGGTTTCTGTTTACTTTTAACTTAGTCTTCCTTCAGGTCTTACCACAAATCCTACTGTTTTCATTGTTGATTTAAATGAGGTTCTTTGGTGCTCAGGGATGAAAGAAAACTCCCACGTTAGACCCACATAAGCGAAGACTTCGGCCTGACAGTTCTAATCTTAAGACACTAAAAACTCACAGGCCTTAGGATCCCAAAATAGCAAACCAAGAGCCAGAGATGCCGTGAAAAGCCTGGGATCTGCATCCAGAAGTTACTATTCAAATGAATACCTCGGCCAAGAGTTCTAGGGGCGTTTACTCCTTTCACCTACCTTTCTATTTTCTGTTAGATTCTTCTGAAAGAATGTAAGAGAAAAATCCAGAAGTGACATAAATTATATCAACTAAATTTAAATGTAAAATGGCTAGGAAATAAACTCGGAGATCTTACAGCTATGTAGTCAACTATAAATTAGATGAAAAGTGGTCTTAAATAGGGTTAAAAGGCCTCTGAAGGCAGCCTTCAGGAAAATCCTAGTACAGAAAAACCATGACCAATTTTGTGCATCTCCCCCCACTCCCACACTCCAGCTTATGGTCAGACATCATTATGTCCAACTTCAGGAAATTCTTGTCCAGCACTCTGCAACCTACGAATTCCATCCATAGCCCCAAACCGTGTAGCTTGGAGGGAATGAAAATAGGCATCTCACTACTTTCAACAGAGACTTCGTATGCTACAGCAGAGCTGAGGTCTCTCTCTTTTTTGTTTTTCCCTTCCAGGTAAGGGGGTCTCTTCTTAACACTGCGTTTTTTAATAATCACTGATGGCCTTTTAAAGTCACTATGCCTTTCTAAGGAACTAAGGAAGAGAAGGGAACATGGCAGTTGGTTACCATTTCAAATCTATTTCTCTAACATTTGCTTTGCTTCTTTTCT